TTTATAACAGGTGCAGCAAAATAGAAGTTATCCATTGATTTCTACATATGAAGGCAAATTGGTAAACATATTTAATCTGAAAATGTCTCAAAGTTATGAAAATTTAACTGTTTTGCTAACTTAAGACTCCATTATCGAACATGAAAATGATTACATTATTGAAGGTAGCAATGATGAGCAGGATAAATATGAATCACAATTGTCATATTTATATAAAATTTTAAACAAGATATTTTTAACTTAATTATTTAATTGTATTTCTATTTTTTAAAAAAAGAAAATTCTAAATTTAATCTTTAAAGACCAAGGAACTTTTAAATGAATCCTGTAGCAAACCAAAAAGATATTTATGGTTGAAAAATGTTCACTCAAATTTTAAATTACTTGAAAAAATGAATAATTACATTTTATCACTAAATAATCGAAGAATAATGCCAAGAACTTGGCAAGACTTTAATAATAATACGATGTATTGGGAATGATAAACTTTAAAATTTTTTTTTTTTGCTTGCAAACAATTAGAAATGAATGTATATTTCTAATTACAATATTTAAAAAGAATATACAGTACTTAGTCGTCTTCATAGTAAATTTTTTTAAATGTACACAATTTGAAAAAAATGTATGCATTTTTTTATAATTGAAATTATTGGTAATAGTGCTTAAGTTTGGTATGTGCTACGTATATTCAAAGTTAATAATATTTCGTTTAAATTTGTTACGTTATATTTTAAGATTTTATCCGGCAATTATTTTCTGAAGTTATATGTAAGCCGGCCGGCAAAAAAAATCCGGCTACCATTTTTTTATGGCGTCGCTAGGGTTGTTATGTTCGATTTTTCATATCATGTGACTAAATTTGTTGATTACCAAATCAAACTAAAGAAATCAACACGAATAAACCCGGATAGACGGAATATCTCGGAATTGAACTAGTTGGTTTGATCTACTGATTGTAAAAAGTCTAGTCTACGTACTAATCAACTAATAGTCGACTAGTCGACTAATGGCTTTACCATATCGTCGCGGAATGACTCCTCGAAGCGCTAGTTTGAGATGTGAGCATTAGAACATACGAAGTAGCCATGATTGAATAGCTATTTCAAATTTTATGATGTAAGAGAACGGAAAATTTATTTTTGCTAATACCCAACGACTCATGATATGACTAATTTTAAACCAGTTTTAATGGGTGATCATAAAGATTTTAAGAACCAAATTTAGGTTTAATGATTAAGATTAAAGTTGGGTTACGTAGAGTGTATACATATGCAAAATGTAATGTTAAAAGTTTTGAAGCTCAAAACTGATTGGTGTTACTCGTAAAGGTAAGTTGGTAAATCCTGTTATGTGTAAAGTTCGCCCCGTACAGACTTAATGTAACGTCTTGAAACTTAACTGGATGATGGCAATATTTTTTTTGTATATATATAACGTTACTATTGACATGTAATGGTAATATGACATTAAGCTTATAATTTAGTAGCTAAGAACCAGTCGCACCGATATGCGATCTTGAATACGTACGTTAGATTATCTCGTTATGAATGCACACAGACTCAATTAGGTAGGGTATGCATGTATATATTTTTTTAATTGATCAATACATATCGGTATACATATTACGTATATATATTATTAAAAAATTAGGTGAGACTTTTCTCATCTTTGATGTTGATTTACTATCTACTTTTCATCTTTTATTTGCTTTATTAGCCAATGAAGACATACATTATATGCCACATAACAAGGATGTGCCTTTGACCTTGCTCTTAAAGCATGCCCCGGACCCTAATAATAAGGTAAAAGTTCATTAATTTTCTCTAGAAACTTTTGGATTTATAGTAGCTAAGTATGGTATGAATTCAATTTAAGAAATAGTACCTTCCTGATCCATTATTATTATATGTACGTACGTACAATAATTGATTATCTAAAAATAAAAGCAAATATATTTGTTAATATATATTGAGTAAATTAGTGATCATCTGGTCCAATAATAAATATATACGTATATGTTTATTTATTTTATATATATATTGCGATGTACAAATAGCAAATTAATATGGTTTAGAATGTTTCTTTGTTTTAAAACAGGTGTGACGTTTATAATATGAATGTGTTTTAGATTTAACATATTCAGATCATGTTTTTCAAGTGCGATAACATCCCTGACATGATAAAATAGTTTAGGATACTGTACCGGTACAATTTTAAGCTCTGATATCATGGGACCGGAATTTTTGTCTTGCAGAACACCACTACTTGTATGCCTCATACACATGTACGTACGTATGTACTTATGTGTGTGTCTGATCTGATACTGTATCGGTATAGGAACGGTATAGGAACCTTTTTAATTCGTTGTGGGCAGGGTTTACTATACGGAGATTCGTACAGAGTATATCGTTATTTCGTTCTCTTCTTAACAGCTTCATTATTATGGCAAAATTTTAAATCTGACTAATAGAATTGTACCAGAAAACTGCCAAAGCAGGAATTTTTCACATTAAGCTAGGTGTTACAGAAAAGAAGGAAATTGACAAATTTTTTAAACCTAATTTTTTGCATAAATTAATTTATAATAAGATTAGGATCATTTTTTATTTAAGACCCAAAAGTAGTCAGTAGTTGTATTAATAAAATTTTACAATTTCTTATGACTTATTATAAAATTTATAAAAATCAATTTTCTGAAATCTTTTTTTCACCCTTTTTTGTAGCACTCGCTCAATGATTTCTGTATAGAAATAGGTAAAGATACTTAGTAAAAAAAATTACCAAGGACCAAATTTTTACTTTTGATTTTGCAATCAATTCAAAATTCTGACGATCATTCGTTCTTAAGCCATATTATGTTAGAGTACCCTGAATTGGGAATTCGCCTCATTCAGGTTCCATTCAGAATCGGGATACTTTAGAATTCTTAAGCAGGTCAGTTAGCTTGAGGATATAATAAAATATATGTACTACTTTAACCTTATCGTTACAGTTATGAATTCTTAACATTAAGCCAATTAAACGGCTTTAGAACTCTAAAGCCGGGAGACCGATTCTGAATCAGGCAAATTCCAACTCGGAGTAAAACATATATCGATATTAAGGTCAGTAAATAGCACTTCAATTGGTTGGTATTTTAAGAACCTATAAAATTTAAATGTATACGTATACGTATATATACAGTATTAATGAACCTTAACAATTTTTTTTAACTATTTATTATTTTAGGTAATTTTATTACACGGAAACTAATTTACTAAGTCATATACAAAGCCAGTTTTTGAGAGGACAGAATGCATAAAGAACTATCTAGTCCTTTTTTAAAAACCTCGATACGTATAACAAAACCTCAACTTTATTAAATTTTATCTAGATCTTTGTTTTAAAAGAGCATAAAGATGTTTTAATTTATTTTAACCCATAAATTATTATAAATTATAATTCATATGTAACGATAATCTTGTAATATCGATACGTATATGTATGAATTAAATATATATATATATATAATTCATAATCTATAAATTATCCATGTATTCAATTCGTCAATTCAATATAGTCATTACTACATATTCTAGGAAAACTAAGATTAGTTGACGTGTTACGAATAAGATTTACAGTAGATTTTTACCAATTTTTGAAGTAAAATATCAAACTTACAGGGTGTTTTGCTAAAACTGAAAGATTATATCATTCAAATGAGGAAATTTTTTCCTTTTCATTGTTATACTACGTAATACCTATTCAAATGAAAACAAAGAGATTAAAAAACGAATTAGTGATAATTAAGATATCCCTGAAGGCTTTGTTTGATGGGCTATTTGCATGCATTTAAGTTATTGTATGCACACTAATTGCTAATTGATTGTTTTTTTTAGACATGAAATCGTGGTTATTGATTGACCAACGGTTCTATGTAATAGATAAATCATTATCGCCATTCAGGTGATGGATGGTCCATTGAAAAAAATGATCGCCTTCTCACTCGAAAAAAAAAGATTTTTTTCCGATGTTAAACAAATTCCGAATCATTATAAAAAAAGTTTTGCATTTACATAAACTAATACGTAGCCTTTGCTCCTAAATAGATGATTAAAAGTGTAACATAACATTATCAAGCTTATATACTACGTACATACATATGTGATTAGTTATTAGTTAGGTGACAATATTAATTAAATAATACAGTAATACGTATGAAATAATACGTAACAATTTTTAATAATAATTAAAATAATTAAGAATAATAAGCCTTCGAGCCTCCTTTCTTTACATATGCATATGTATATAAAAAACCTATAACACACTTATAATATACTTATAATATACTTATAATATATATATAATACTTATAATACTTATATATAATACTTATAATACTTATATATATACTTATCATATACTTATATATAATACTTATAATATACTTATGATACTTATAATATACTTATTCTCTTAATCCATCTCCATATTGGTTTTCTTTGATAAAATTATACGTAAGTACGTACGTATTAATTTATATACTGATAAATTTCCGAAATTGTCGTAATTGAAAGTATTATTGAGATACGTTAATTTTTAATTTTTAGTTTCTCGTGGTATTAAAGTATCGAACTTATTTATATGTTACCATATAAAAAAGTATTGTTGATAACTTGATTTGTACTTATAACGGGTCAAAGCCGTTGTGGCGGGTTATACTTCACTACGGCAAAATAGAATTATACCAAATCTCTATTTATAGATTTTACTCGTCGATCAGCATTTGGCACCGCAGCTAGCTGCTAATGAATGTTATCCATATTTTTGTTTTCTTGTTTCAACTTGCCATCGGTTCTATAATAAGTAAAGGTGACAAAGAGGTATTTTCTTCCTTACCCTATCCTACCCACCTCTATTCTCCATCCACTCTCTTCTTCACCCAAGAAAGCTCTATCACCGATCGTTAAGTCTTTTTATCTAGTGGCCTTTTTGAACTTTAAGCATTCTGAGTTACCATCATGACTCAACGTCCCGTGTCTGAGCAATTTAATCTTCAACAAAAGCCGGGATCTAATCCACAATACCGCCAGTCGGCAGACTTATCTCACCTAAGTCAACAACCGACGAATAATAGAAGCTCCCGTCCAACCTCCGAAATATTCTCCGCAAATAACCACAATACATATCAATCACCTGAAGGTAAATATATTCTATCTTATAAAATTCTTTTTACCTTAGAATTCTTGTTTATTGAGTTCCTTTGGCCTATTACTCTTAAAGGGTTGCCTTTTTTTGGATGCTTTTTATTTTATCTTTTATTTTATTTTATCTTATCTTTTATTTTACTTTATTTTACTTTATTTTATTTTTTATTTTTATTTTTATTTTTTTTTTGTAAAAAAAAAAAAAGTATATAAATGTACTCAATCATTATTAAAAAATTCAGCTGAAGCCATTGATAAATGGTTTGAAGATCTTCAACACTATGAACAAACTCTTGAAGAAATGGCAACCGCTAGGTTGGATCAAAATTTTAAAGAAGAACTTGGTGCCATAGAACAATGGTTTCGTGTATTATCTGAAGCTGAACGAACTGCTGCTTTGTATAGCTTATTACAACATTCAACTCAAGTACAAATAAGGTTCTTCATAACTGTTTTACAACAAATGGCAAGAAATGATCCGATGGGTGCTCTCTTGTCACCTGCTAACCCTGAGAAAGGTTCGTTGGGTAATTTATTTGAATTAATCTTTAAAAAAAATTTTTTTTCTTTTTTTTTTCTTATTATTCATTTATTTATAATTATTATGATTTATCATGATTTAAATTTTAAAACTAATCATTATATATACTCCCATTCTTTTATAATTTTTTTATATATAATTTTTTTTTTTTTATCTTGAAATATTAGATTTGATGCAAGCTCAACTGGCAGGTGCTATGGCTAAAGCTGAAGTTGAAGCTAAACTTGCCGGTATGGCTCTTAAATCTCCAACAAGTCCAACTTATGCACGTCGTTTATATGATCGAAATCCTGGCGTTGATTTCTTATCCCCTGAAACTGCTATTTATACCGATCCTGCTGCTGCTCTCGCTCAGCAAAGAGCTCGCCTTCAAGCTGGTAATCGTGGTACTTTGTATCCTTCTCGTCCAAAATCTATGGTGGCTGAAAATGATCAAACTGTTTGGACTCCAGGTTCTGCCTCTGGTTCTAATAATAATAATAATAATAAAGATAGAACTAGTAATGGTCGACCAAAATCGGCTGATTTAAGTGCTCTTCCTTGGTCTCCTGCTGGTTATTCTATGCGTTCTCCTCGATCTGGTAATGCTTTTGATGGCGAGCTATCTCCTCTTGTCGGTGGAAGTTGGGCTAGTATGGTATCAACACCTGTGGTTCCGATGTTTGCTGAAAAACCTAAACAAACTACTGATGTAGATATGGTTAATAAAAAATTGTCAAATTGGAGTGTGAGCAATAACTCGGTGGTGTTAGAAAGTGATGTTAAAAAATTCCGTCGGAATCATGGAAAATCTAGTTCTGGTGTTCCTGCTACTGTTCAAGAAGAAAAATTTAATTCAAATCAAACAAATATTGTTTTATCTATGTACGATACTGATGGGAATATCCGTTCACCTCAACATTCTCCTATTCCAAGTACAAAGTCTATTTCCAGGCAGAATTCACGTCCTACTTCTCCTAATCCTAATCCTCCAGGATTGTATCCCGCTCATTCTAATTGGAATCAAAATACTGGTGGAGGTAAACATACTCATTTAACACCACCTAATGTTGGCCATTATAATGAAGAGAATGGTGAAGTAGTTGGATATCATAGTGATCATAGTGATGCTTCTCATAATAATAATCCTCCTTCAAAACATGGTAAAAATAAAAAGAAACAAAATGATGATACCGTTGATTTCAACTTATTGCAAGGTTTTTTATTAATTTTTATTATTATTAATATATAACTTTACCAAATATTATCTTAATCTTGCGTATTTTTTTTTTTTTTATTGTTAAAAATTTAGATATTCCTGCTTGGTTACGTAGTCTTCGTTTACACAAGTATACCCCTGTATTTGAAGGAATGATATGGCAAGACATTATTGAATTAGATGATTCTTCGCTAGAACAAAAAGGTGTTGCTGCACTCGGTGCTAGACGCAAAATGCTTAAAGAATTTGATAAGGTTAAGATTGCCATGGTAAGTGCTTGTATAGTGAAATTGTGAATTGTTAGATTGAATTAATCAACTAATTTATATTACGTTCCTACAGCAACAGGTCGAAAAAGGAACATGATTGGTTGATATTATATAATTATATAAATGGGATATTATATTGGTTATACCAATTTGTATTTTGTTTTATTTTTTATTTTTATTTTTATTTTTTTTTGTTTTTACCTATTACATAAACATTTCATGAGTTGAATAAGTTCAACTTGTTTTTTTATTGTATTATTGCAGAGGTTTTCGAATGCCGGGCGTATTCTGCTACACTGTTATTTTCTTTTTCTTGTGAATAGTTTTATCTATATTTCCTTCTTTAACCTCTTGTTTCACTCCCCAAAAAAAAAAAATTTTTTTAAAAAGTAAATCCTGTACATTTAGACCTTTTAAAGGACAGGATCCTTTTACAGACAGTAATTTTAATAGCTTTCTAAAAAATATGTAAGATTTTGGGGACAGGTGCTCCACCATTTATCATTTTATTATTTTTATTACAGTGGCGATCAAAATTAATGGAGCAGAAAAAAAATGATTAGATCGCATTATTTCGTGCAATTCTAGACGTATCTTTTATTTCTTCTTTTAATTTGTTCGTAAATAGTATATTTAATATTAAAAATCTTAATTGTTTTATCTAATCCCGCGTGTATTACGAAACACGTGATGTATTACCTTTGCTTGTGTTTTTTTAACGGAGATCAGTTGGCGTTTCGTGTACTACATAAATACAATAAATACGTAAACTTTGTTTTTGCATTTTAAAAATGTTTTTGAAAACCAAGTTTTAGCAAAAAGAAATATACCTTTTAGTATAAAGAACTTGAATTTTACTTGTGCTTCAAAAGAAACACTTTATATAAAGGTAGTAGATATTGGTTTATAAACTTTTTTATTATATTTTGAAGAGAAATTATTATAATATAAAATATATATATATATAATTATAATAATAAATATAGAATTGTAAAATTTGAAGCTTTAATGTTTTTTTTCTTTATATATTTAAATAAATTTTATAATTAGATAAATTAAAAAACAACAGAAATAATAACCTTTTTTTCAAAACATATTTTTATTAAATTTATTTTGGTATATTAATATATATAGAAAAAAGTTAGTAAAAAAGAAACATTATTTTTAGTAAAATTTTTTTTTAATTTTTAAATTAAAATAACTAATTATTTAATCAAATTTGTTAAAAAAATTTTTATTTTAATTTTGAAATTATATAGAATTTTTTTTTTTTAATATTAATGGTGAGGTCATGTCTTTATTTTTTTTTTTAAATATTAACAGTAAGGTCATGCTTTTAACTTTATTGACATGTTTTTATTTTTATTGAATATTAATTAAGATTTTATATAAAGTACAATTTTGCTTTTAAAATATTATAGAAAAAATAAAAGCTTAGACTAATTTATCTGTGATCTAAACCAACTGAAATGGTCAAGGCTTATCTAGATTTAAGTATTAGTAATTATATATAAAGAATTAGTTTGATATTTAATTCATTAAATATATTAGGAGTTTATTTTTGAACTAATCAAATTGAATAAAAAGAGTATAATAAAAGTGAGATAGCATTTGAAAGTATGTTATATTTAGAAAGTTAAGTTGTAGATCTTAAAATACAATTTAAAATCCAGATTTTATAATAGATTTGTTGATTAAGATGAAGTAAGAACTTGATAACAAGTGTTATAATTACTTTTTTGAATAACAAAATTGCAATAATGTTAATAAGTTTATTTGATATTAGACCTGTTAGAGTTGAAAAGACTGAAGGTAAATCTGATGTACTGTAAATAGTTATACTACTCAACAACTTAATTTGATTATACAAATTGGTTATAGTATTTGAAATAATATCAAATATTTTAATATTTAAAGTATGTTATAATAAAATGTTTGTATAATTATATAGCAATTAATTAGATAAACAAGTTGTCTAGTGAAAATGAAAACTAATTTGATAACAATAATAACAGATAAATAAGTATAAGTAATATTGTTTATATAAAATATTTAAAATAGAAAAATTATCTAATAGAATATTAATTCTAAAAGATTTAAGAGTAGAGGAAAGCTATATGAGAAGTTTGGAATTTTTTGATTGTTGTTGATATATAGTCAAGTAGCTTGCTAATTAATTTAATTAAAGATTTTGTACTATTTTTAAAACTAGTTTTATATAATCTATAATACATAAATATGTGTATAACATATTGTACAAATACTATGATGAATGAATAATTCTAAAGAAAAGTTTTCAAAATTTAAAATATATGCAGAATAATAAATATTGTATGATATAAAGATAAGATATAGCAAATTGTGATAACTGAATACAAGTTGGCTTGCAAAGTTATTGTACTGTTCATTCTAATGAGCAGTGACTTTGTAAAAAATAATATAGATATTATATAATTTGACAAAGTTAATAAGTGTATTCTATAATAAGAAATATGATATATGTGTATAGGATAAAATAAGAGTTAAGAGTAGAGGGCAGTATTTTAAAATTATATATAAATTTAATGCTAAATTTTTTTTATATTTAATTTTATAAAAAATTATTATTATTATTTTTTTTCTATTAAACTAGCCTCTTTTGAGTCTAGGGTTTTATTCAGTAAATTGGACATAGGGACTCATGGCTGAAGTCTCAAAGAAGTTATCTTATATTAGAGAGTACAACTAGCTACACATACACTTTTGATGTCTAATTTAAGTAATCTGCCAATAGTTCTATATTAGCTGCTATACCTGCAATCCAATTAGGAGCATTGTCTATTTAAACTCTCTGTGCTGCAATCCTTACTGTGTTATTAGATTATCTCTAATACAGTTATCAGTCAAGAAGGTCTAGATACTTTTACCTATTTCCCTTAGGACCTTATATCTTATTTTATACAGTATATCCTCAGAAGCATTGTTACTAGAGCCTTCTATGTCCTACATGCAGCTGACCTAGTTTTGTATAACATGCTATAGTTATCTAACACTTGTAGTTACAGGGATTACCTGTTTAATCACTACATTACACTATTTTTACTCTTGTAAAGTTCACCCAAATCCCAGTATCTATCTTTCTAACTTCTTCTCTTTATCTCTCTACTATCCAACTTAGAATCTAACAGACTCTTAATTCAGATAGCCTAGTGTGATATACTTTGATATCTTTTTTCTCTAGCGATTCTGGCAGCCTAGTTGCTCATATGCTCTTCTATACATCTTTTCATCTAGTTGCATATCTGCCTATTTCTTATTGGGGTTTCCTGGGCTTCTATCAGTCTGATAGCACTGTTGAAGGCTTGTGCTACTCTTTATTCAAAAATTTCCAAGTGGGCTTCTGTTTCCTTAGTTTCTTGGTCTTTTATATCTGGTGGTTTTATCGTAGATTTGCACCAAAGTCTTATATGATACTGGTTATTAATATTCCTCTATATACATATAATATTACACTTTGCATAGATGCCCTAGACTCCCAATAACAAGTAGAACTCGATTGGTTGTACTCAAGATTACAAATACCTAAATTCAACTGATCGACAAAAGGCAGTTTACTATAATACAGGTTAATTACCAAATTTTATTATAGGTGGGATTTGAACCTTAGACCTGCCACTTGAAGGATGACAACCTAACCACTACACTAGGATTACTATTCTCTTATTTTATAAAAATTATATCAAATAAACTAATTTTAATTATTAAGTAAAAATTATAGAATAGGTTTTTTTGATTCTAATAATAGTAAAATTATTAAAATAGGCTAAAAACTTATTAAAATATAAATTTTTAAAAATTAAAATATAAAATTATAAAATAAAATTAACTAAAAGGTTTACATAAATTAACCAATCAAATTCTTCATTTTTGTACTATTTAAGCAAATTTTAACTCAGCTAAGTAAACTTTATTATATATACAAATATATTTTTTAAATAAAACAATACATCAAAATTTTACTATAATAGATAAATATTTTTATTTATAATATTATAAATTTTTTTTATTAATTAATTAAAAAATAAAAAAGGTTTATTAGTAGTATACAGTATATCAATTTTAGATGAAAATTTTAATATACTATAGATAACCATATAAAAATGTTTTATATGTTCTCTATTCTTAAGTTTGAAAGACTGTAATATTTGAAAATTACAGACTGTGAGTCAATATATATGTGTATAATACAGTTTTTGCAATAATAAGAGCTAATAAGATAGTAGTAAGCTCAGACTTAAATAAGCAAGTCTAGTATTTTGTTTAGGCTTAAAATGTATACAGTATATTGTTGTTTAGAATTTGAACTTATTTGATGTCTATAGAGCATTGTGAGGTACTTAAATTAATGACTGAGCTATCTGTATAAAAATAAAGTTCTGATAATTATATATTGTAATTAGTAATTTGTTAAAGATTGTTTGTTAGAGTACTAGATTTAAATATAATTAAAATTAAATATGTTATAATATTAATATTAGGAGGAAGAGGATGGCGATCCTAGTGTAGTGGTTGGGTTGTCATCCTCCAAGTGGCAGGTCTAAGGTTCAAATCCCACCTA